GAAAGAATAAAAAATGAAAGTGTTTTTGCATATGTGTGATTGTGTGTGTGCATGTGCATGCGTGTGTGTGATAATTGGGAGGATCTCCCCATCTTTTATAGTAATCTGCAGGTTTTGTTTTTACATGGAACACAATTTGAGCTGTGTAATCAACCATATCTATCTGACTCCTGTTCTTAATTGTCAGTCTTTTCCTAGTCAGAGATGAGATGTGATTATCTCACAACAGAAAAATCCAGTTCAATATACATATGAAAGTATCCAACAATACTCCATCAGTTACATTCATGCAGAGCAGGAACCCCTACTTCATAGCTCACTAGCACTGGCAGATTTCAAAACCTATGCCTTTTGTGTATTAGTTAGCTACTGCTGTGTAACAAACCACCCCAACTCAGTAGCTTAAAACAACAATAATTATTTATCTCACAGTTCTTTGGGTTAACAATTTAGCCTGAGTCAGCTAAGTGGTTTTCCTGTTCTCAGCTGGACTCCTTGAATCCTTAGTTAGCTGCACTTTCACAGAATAATTCTGCTTCTGGGAGTAGGCCAGCTATTATCTGGGATGATGTGGAAGCAGTAGGACCATGTGTTTCTTATTTTCAGCAGCCAAGCCCCAGTGGGGTTTTTTGTTGTTGTTTTTTCTTGTTTTTTTTTTGAGACGGAGTTTCGCTTGTTACCCAGGCTGGAGTGCAATGGCGCGGTCTTGACTCACCGCAACCTCCACCTTCTGGTTTCAGGCAATTCTCCTGCCTCAGCCTCCTGAGTAGCTGGGATCCCAGTGGGTTTTATAATGGCTAGGCAGGCTTCTGAGAGAGTAAAGATAAGCATGGAAAGCCTCTTTGAGGCCTAAGCTTGAAACCCACACTTACTCATGTCTGCTGCATTCTACTGTACAATACACCTAACCTGTATTCAAGAACTCTACCTCTTGATGGGAAAAATAGAAAAGTCCTATTAAAAAGCATCTTTGAGACAATCAAATAATTGCAACAATTTTTGTAAAGGACCTACATTATCCTTTCTACTATATATTTTTGTATTTCCTTTAGGGTCTTTTATCATTACATTTCAAATCCAAGACAAATTATAAATCTATTTTGAATATCAGGATTTAGCCCGGAAATGAACATATGCCTTAACATTAAAAATCTATTTTTATAGTTTAGTGCGTTAATAGATAAAGGGTAATTTTGTATACTTAGAACATTTACTTTGTCATCCTCACAACAATCTCTGGTACAATGGTGAGTGTTGTATCCATTAACTCATCTAAATAGTAACAAAATTACTAGGAGATAAATGCTGTTATTACTCATAATTTACAGAAAAGGAAATTGAGTCTTAGACACTATAAAGAACAGGGACAGAAACGCTGCTTATAAGCTTATATCATCTTTTTTTTTTAAGATGGAGTCTCACTCTGTTACCTAGGGTGGAGAGGAGTGGTGCGATCTAGCTCAAATGCAACCTCCACCTCCCGGTTTCAAATGATTCTCCTGCCTCAGCCATCTGAGTAGCTGGGATTATAGGCATGCACCACCATGCCAGGCTAACTATTTTGTAGTCAGGCTGGTCTCAAACTCTAGACCTCATGATCCACCCGCCTCGGCCTCCCAAAGTGCTGAGATTACAGGCATGAGCCACCATGCCCGGCCAGGTTAAACCATTTTTAAGTTGTAAACACAAAACCTCTTGATAATGGTCATCACTGCAATAAAAGGACATCTCTATATGTTTCCAATTTCCTTCCCCCCATTCACAGTTCAAAATCTTCCAGAAACAACTCATATTTCCTAGCTATGATGATTAAGATTACTGTGCAAGGTGCCCTACAAAGCAAGAGTACAAAGTCCATGTCATCACAGAGTTGACAGCCTGAACGCATTGAGCAGTGAAACAGCTGGGAAATTTAGAAGAAAAAGGAAGTGTGAAACTCGAGATTTGTGCCTTGGGTTTTAGAGGAAAAGGAACCCTACAGTGAATCTAGAAAGAAAGTCCAGCTTCAAAACATTTCCTCTATAGTTGCATTAGTTAGAGATTAGCAAAGTTAACATGTCTGTCTTTGAGGAGGTAAATATCCAATGAGTTGGTCAAATAGTCATGCCTGCTTCAGTGCCTTTTGTTTTAATTAGATCGATCATAGCCTAGCTGATTAACTGAATCAGGAGTAGGAGACTTGATGTGGAGCCAAGAGAGTTTATGGGAATTAAAAGAATGGGGAAAATGTGGAAGGGATTAAAAAAATAGTATGTATTTATTCATCAACCAAAAGATTGCTAAGGTTGGAACAGCGCTTAGTCTGATAGCAGAGATAAGCAGATTAAAGTGAAAATGATCATGTTCCAAGTTATTATTTGGTTTAAACTTAAGTGATTTCCCAAGATAGGACAGAAAACATAGCCCTGTGAAGATTTGTTGTCATTTTTATGTATGATTATTATTAGATGTTAAAAAAACTCAGATTTGCAATTTCCTGAATGGAGATGTGCAGTATCAGAAATGGTTTTACTGATCAGGTGATATTTGAGCAAGATCTCAAAGAGTGGAAGTGTGCCACATATTCTGTGCTAACCATCTTTGAATACTGAAGGAGCTGTGTGCTATGAGATGTGATTGTTTAGCAATCATGGCTTGTGCTCTGCCTTGTATAACAACAGAGGCACAGCATGACAAGTAAAGGGTAACAGTTATGGAATCCTAATTGTGATTTCCAGGGCTGTTTCCTTAGCTTTGGGAGTTAATTTTAATAGCTACAAAAATCGATGAGATACCATGCTTTGCTGTAAATCTTTCAGAGAGAGATGCTACTAATTGTTCCTTAACTGCAGGTCTGACTGTTATCAACCTTACTTTTCAAGTGATCCTGTTCTGGTGTCATTCTCCTTTTAATAGCTATTTGTACAAAACCAAAGAACAGCAGAGCCAGAATGGCCCTGGGAGACATCTTGTGCAGAATTCTATCATCGGGGCTCTTTCTCCAGACATAATCCTATTTAACATTGTAAACAAATCAAAGAGGAGTGCTTGACTTGAGGAGCCTTGTGTGGCCTGATCTGTTCAACCACTACCCAGATTCATAGCTGTAGTGACCCCAGAAGAACCCCAAGTGCATCCTGTCATGTTTTCAAAGATAGTGGAAATCACTGTCTTATCTAAAACCTGTTTTTACAGGCAAGAAAACTGACACCCAGAAAAGTTAACTGATGACTTGAGGTTACACGGAAAAGAGTTGTCATAGCTACCCAAGATTCATGTCGCCTCCTACTCTACCATAGGTAATATCCTATGTTCCTTTACAAATAAATATCAAGGACTGGGCTCATAGTTAAGAATAACAGTTTGGCCACTTAGACTGAAGCTCATTTTAGCCCATCTCCTCACATGAAACAATTTGCCGAACAATTCCTCTCAAAACTTCAAGGGCTCGTTAACAACACAGTGCTAACAATGTGAGTTCCCTCACCCGATTCCAGAATTTATGAACAAAAATTTCCTAGATCAGGAGGAGAGATCAGAAACTTTACGAGATTTTTCAGGTGATTCTCAGGCAGTCCACAGGGAATGGGCTTAGGTTTTGTCACTGGGGTGATTTTTCTAGGGACGTTTTGCTTATAAAACTTTGAAACTTAGAACTAGTGCGGAAGAATATGTGAGTGGTATTTAACTTATTACAAAGACAGGATGACCTCAGCTGGGGAAAAATTACATATGGAGTTTATTAACATCTGTAATTTGGATAAGCAGTTATCTTCCCACATGTCTCATTTTACAGATTTCTGCTTAAAACTCATTGCTTGTACATTATCACATAATCACAAAGTCCAATGGGAAAGGCTATGGAAGTCATATCAATAGCTTCCTTCAGTTGTCCGTCTATATGTAAGCATCTGGCAGTGAGAATCTGCTAGAGTAAGATTTTGGCTTCCAAAATTAAGACTGCCAAAGATCTCTTAGAAAAGGTCAATATATGTATTCTACCTTCATAATGTTTACATTAGAAAATTCAAATTCATTCACGAAAGCTAAAGCATGGATGCTTTTCTTTATAAAATTATTAGTTTTACAGACATTGAAGCGGTCTTAAAAATCAACGGTTTACCCCAATACTTTTGCAGAGAAGAATCAGGGCCAAGGTCCACACCTAGGCACCTCATTAGCGGCAGGTTAAGATTTGAATCAAAGGCCAGGAGAATAAAGATTTTGAATGAATTGCTAAATGGTATACAAAATAAAATCTTCTCAGAATGATGTACACATGAAATACGAATGATGTCAGAATAAGTAAAAACCAAAGGGGATAAATAGGAAATTAAATTCAAATTAGTAAACAGGTTACTTGGAAACCTTGGAAATAATCCCTATTGTTTTTCAACTTGTGTTTATTTTAAATAAAATTCGAATACACAGTAGTTTAGGAAGAAGCAATTCACCCTCTTCAGTTGACCCGCAAAGGGGGAGAAAAGAAGCAAGCCTGAACTCAATCCTTAAGATGCTGTGATTTTAGATGAAAAATTTTCTGCAAAAGAAAAGCGAAAGGCCAGAATAATAATGAAAAAGATTCTAACAGCTGTCAAAACAGCAACAACAAAAATTGCTCAGTCTTTTAAGCAGATATGCAGACGCTCTTACTCATATTTTTTTGTTTTTAATTTTACTTTAACTTCTGGGATGCATGTGTAGAAGATACAGGTTTGGTACATAGGTATACATGTGCCATGATGGTTTGCTGCATCTATCAACCCATCATCTAGGTTTTAAACCCCGCATGCATTAGGTATTTGTCATTTGTCCTAATGCTCTCCCTCCCCTTGCCCCCCACACACCTGACAGGCCCCAGTGTGTGATGTTCCCCTCCCTGTGTCCGTGTGTTCTCATTGTTCAACTCCCACTTAATAAATGAATTTTTATACACTGAAATGCAATGTTGGACAACATTCCTGCTTCTACTTGGCTGTGACTTTGGATATGGCTTAAATGGCTACCTCTGACCTTTTTAGCTCTTGTAAAAGTCATGTGAAAGGGGCAGTTCTACCTCCTGATGAGAAGCAAACCAGGGAGACTGTGCTATCCTCACTGCCTTCCCACTCGCAGATACCTCTTTTTGCCAGCCCTGGGTGGAGCAGTGGGAAAGGAATAGGGGATACCAGAAATGCTGCTTTGGATGGTGAGGTGGCCTCAGTCTGTGCTAAGGCAGCAAGTATGGTACTTGGACACACACTGTCTTTACAACCAAACCGTGCAATAGCTTTGAACTTTACTTTCTTCCCAAGATCTTGTGCAAATCATTTCATCAGTCTGATTTCTGTGCCATCTCTGGGCCTCAGTTTTCTCATTTACAAAAGGATAAAGATGAGAACCAGCTCTGTCTCATATCTGCTGAGTTCATCTATTCTTTTGTACCTGAAGCAAATTAAGTTTTTCATAATAATTGGTTTTCTCTTCCTTCTTCACCATAGCCCCCATGCCCAAATACCTTTCCTTTGACAGGTGTATCAGTTAGCTTGTATTGTATAATGAACCAACCCAAAAGATTTGAAACAAACATTTCCTGAGCTCATGGTTCTGCAGATTGGCAAATTCAATTGGACTTAAGTGGGTAGTGTGTTATGGATTTGGCTAATGTTAGCTGGCTTTTCTCATGCCTCTTCATTCCGCCAGTAAGTGAATCAGGGCTGTCTGAGACAAAGGGGGCCTCTCTTCATGTGGAGATCTGGGGCTTGTTCCCATGGAAATAGAGGAGGCACTGAGAAAGCAGAGCAGAGTGGAAGCTGTAAGAAAGCAGAGTGGAAACTAAGCCCTCTTGAAGTCCAGGCTTGGAACAAATACAATGTCACTTCTGTGACAGTTTGTTTTGGATAAATTCAATCACAAACCCATCCCAGATTTAAAAGTTGCACAAGAAATTCCATCTCTTAATGGAGAAGCTAAAAAAAAAATGGTGCAATTTTTGAAATACAAGGAAGAGCAGATAAGCTCTTTCTAAAGTGTGTTTTAGTGGATGGAAGAAGCATGCTACTACACGGCAGAATGTTTGGTTCCTAGTCACTTCACTGAATCTGATTATGTCCTTCCATAGTGCAGAGCATTTGTACCAAATGCTCTATTATTTTAATTTAAAATTGCATCTCCTTGTGATTCATCCCAGGGCTATGACAAGCATGCATGCCATGCATTTATTTATTTGGGAGTTGGGGGCTTCTCCTTTTATTTCTTTCTGACAGGTGTCCTGGGAAATCCTTCTGGAGCAGCAATCTGGCCCTTCTTCTCATTTTGCCAATCTGATCACCCTAGGGTAGGGTGATTTAACAGGAGTAATTAATCATTGTGTTTTCTGAAATTGGAAGCCAAGGCACATTAGCCTCATACCAGAGAGCATGTATGCAAGTGAGGGGGTTATGAAGGAGTGTGTGTAACGAGAGAGGTGAGAGTCTTATAATTAAGGAGGAGCATAAATAATAATGAAAGTCATTAGTGCCACTTGGTTGAAAGAATGTCATAAATGTACTTGGGACATTAAAGTGAAATCCATTATGACAAACATTAACACATACAAAGGAGGGGGAAAATGTGGTTATCTTGGGTTTGACAGATAGTGTCAGCTTCCAGTGGGGCCCAGATGGCATTCAGGAAAATGTTATGAGCAGTTTTATTTTAATATTTTTGGTTATGTGATATTTGGGAATCAAATGACACAAACACATGAGGAATTTTCACATGCCTGGCCTTGAAGAGGCTGGCAGAAAGGAGAGGTCACTGAAGGCAGCAGCAGACTGGAGGACTTCCATCTCAGAGGCACGACTTTTTTTTCCTTAGTTGTTGCGATAACTCAAGGCATATGATGTGGTCTGGCGTTTTTCCTCGGTGAAATTCCCTGTTGAACCAGACACGGAGTTTGGATGCTTTCTTTAAAAAATAGCAAAATGTGGGGGGAGCGACAGGGATGAGAATGAGGACATTTAAACAATTATGCAGGAAATTATATGATGCTAAAATTGAACATGGACAGGCTGTTCAATGGCAGGATTCCCACTCGTGCTGAGCTTTGCAAAGGGGAGGATTTTTTTTTTTTTTTTTGCTTTCTCTCCAAGACTGTAATTTTTGAGCAGGAAATAATTCAGAGTGTAAAACAAAAGAAAAAATTAAATATATGTAGAAATGGAAGCACAGAGAAACAAAAAGGAGACGGTTGTAAAAAAAAAAAAAACAAGATGAAAAGTGTGTGTGTGTGTGTGTGTGTGTGTGTGTGTGTGTGTGTTTTCAAAGTAAGGGAGTGATAAATGCTGGTGATGGTTTGGAAAGAAAAATGTCCTTCTCTGGGATTTCTGTTCGGGCAGTGCAGACTCAGTGGGACCATGTTTGTGACACACAAGGGTATCATGAGGACTCAGTAGGTCTGTATTTGTGAAAGGCTTAGTACACTGACTGACAAATGGTAAGTCCTGAATAAATGGGAGCTATAATAACTATTATTATAAGTGTTATCGTCATTGTATATCAGGGCTGGTGGAGCAATCTATATATTTGGGGATCTAAAATTATTTATGCATGATGGGAAAGAAGGAGTGATAAACTGACATCTGTGTCAAGCCTACTGCCTGCAAAGAGATTTAGCTAATATGTTAGCTCATATAATCTGTTGCAAAGCTGCTCAGTAGGTATCATGACTATAACTGAGGAGACAAAGGATTGGATAGTTCAGTGCATGTAAAGCAGTAAAACAGTCACCAGCACATAATAAATGCTCAATGAACATTAGCTCTCATGTTTGTCATTCTCAAAATCAAACTAGTAACTAATGGAAGAATCCACGTTTGAATCTCTTTCTTTTTTATTTCAATGGCACCAAGCTGCCTCTTAACTTGACTCACCTGGAACAATCTACAGCTCACACATGGACATTCTATAGTGAAGGCAATGAAGATGCTTGGGATATAAGAGCAAGACTTTGTCTGTGAGAACTCAAGGACCTACAGAGTAATATGGACTCTAGAAACTCAGAAGGGGGAGGGTGAGAGGGCAGCCAGAGATTTAAAACACACACAATGTACTAAAATCTTAGAAGCCACTATAATTCATCTATGTAACAACATCAAAAAAAACCTGTACCCCTAGAGCTATTGAAATAATAATAATAAAAAAAAGAGTAAGACTTTGAAGCCTGCAGCCAGAAAATTGGGTTGAAATCTCTGCAACGGTCCTTGAGAAGTATGGTTTTTATAGTGCACATGGGGTGTGGCAAGTTCCTTTCAAGGAAAGTCTAGTCTGGGCTGCTGGGAAGACTTAGTATACAGTCTTCTGTTGTTAGACCTTCAGGATTTCTTTGTTTGTCAAGAATCACTTGATACAAGGTCATGGCTATGCTGGGTACAGGCCATACCTGATGGCTGAGGGCTATGGGCATATAAAGGCCTAGACATATCATCTCAGTATGAACAATTCTAAAGGGCCTTTAGAGCTCCTCATTGGTGTGTTTGAGAGAAAGGGACATTGGCTACAGCTGTCACTGGACCTGCATCGTGATTCAATTTCTATATCCAATCTCATAGTCCTTTACCTCCCCTCACAGGATTTCACCCCAAGTACCCTTTTAAATAAACATGATGCACTCTAAACTAGCTCAGAATCTGATTCCCAGGGACCCCAAGTGTTAATAGTATCAAAGCTTCGAAGGGAAGTGGTATGGTAATAACCTAAGTGATTTCATAACATCCACTTAGAGCAGGATCATTCAGGGAGCTGAGTAATGTTAGTTGATATTTCCATCCCCCCCTGATGAGATGCCATCCCACATTCAGGATCATGCCTAAGGAGTGTGCCAGGAGGCAAAGGACATTATCTGTCACCCAGGCTGGAGTGCAGTGGCGTGATCTTGGCTCACCACAACCTCCACGTCCCATATTCAAGCGATTCTCCTGCCTCAGCCTCCTGAGTAGCTGGGATGACAGGCGTGCGCCACCACTCCCGGCTGATTTTTGTAATTTTGGTAGAGACAGGGTTTTGCCATGTTAGCCAGGCTGGTCTCAAACTCCTGACCTCAAGTGATACACCTGCCAGGGCCTCCCAAAATTCTGGGATTACAGGTGTGAGCCACTGTGCCTGGCCCCCTTGTATGTGTTTTGATGTAGGAAAAAAACCTGTTTAAAATGTACAGCAACAGCATCAGGAGGAAGGAAGAGTGAGTCATAAAAGGGAAACATTTGGGCTGAGAAGGCTTTCAGTGCATCTTGACTTAGGAAGCCTCACTTGTGAGCCTAAAAGAGAGCCAAACCTGGACTGATGTAAAGGGAGCTGAGGAAGAACAAGCAGGTGGCTTAATTTTGTTTACTTGTTTTTTAATTACATTTTTTATATATTTTAAATTTTATGAGTAACATCTAAATATGATCTCATAATTAAAAAGAAGCAAATACATGACCCCTTTAAAAATCTAATAATGGTCAACCCATACTGCTCAGCCTAGAAGTTTCCCTTAAGCAGAGAAGATTGCTGGGCTAGAGATTCTTTTGTATTAGTGGATAATGTTTTACTTATTTGTTTTTAGAATTTTCAATTCTGTTTTTGTCTATGTGTTTTAATTTGTACTTTAAAAAATATTTATTTCTTCAAACACTTAAAATTATTTGTGGAATTTTTTTATATTTTAAATTTTTTAAAAAAGAACATCACATTTGCAGCAATATTCCTCCTTTACCTTCTGAGGGCTTATTTGTATCTTCTTTCTTTTTTCTCAGAAAATTGACTTGCAAAGTATAAACTATTTTGGAAAAAAAATCTTTGTTAAAATTATAATGAGTCTTTTATATTCTTTCAATTTTTGGTTTAAATTTGTACTTTTCTTTCTTTTTCAGTTGAATATTTAAATAATCACTTTTCAATTATTCTATCTACCTATCTATCTTCTATCTGTCTATCTACTTATTTATCCACCATTTATAGGGCTATGAAATCCCCTCTGAGCACAGCTTTAGCTCCTTCCCACTGACATAGAAAGGCCTTTTAAACAGTTTTTTATTTTTTGTGATTACATTTTTAAACAATTTATTATTTTAGGAGTGTGCAACTTAATTTCCCAACATGTTTTGAGGGACATTAACCATCAAAATATTGTTGATTTCTAATTTTATTTCATAAGGTTAGAAAACACTTTGCATTTCATTTTTTTAAAATCAGTGATAATATTTTGCAGTTTATCATATGATCTG